TCTCCTCGTAGGACACGCCCTCTTAGCTCTCGGACTAGTCTTGTTGCAAACCTTTGCACTTTCTATCTTTCTATACGTGCTTGACTAGGTGTGGGTTCAAAATGGTGCAGCATGCGGTGTACAGGGTCCTGAACGTTTCCTTATTGAGATGTCTTAATGCTTTTCTTAGGTTTGCTAGGCGCCCGTATGCTGCAGCAGTTATTTGGTTGATGTGCACCTCAGGAGATGTGCCCGGTGTTATACTCACCCCAAGATCCATTTCCTCGAGTGAGGTTTTAGTGTCTGACCCCTTAGACTGTTCTCCGTCTGCGGTCTTCTTTGCCCTTCCCCAATCTTCATGACTTTGCACTTGGTGGGGCTGAACTCAATGAGCCAGTTTCTGGACAGGCCTGCAGCCTGTCCAGATCCCTTTGTAGTTCTGCGTGGCCTTCGTCTGATTGAATGTTCATGAACTTCACATCATCTGCAAACAGGGACACTTCTGAGTCTATTCTTTCCGTCATGCCTTTCGCATATACCAGAACCAGCACTAGTCTAGGATTGACCCCCCAATTGAAACCCCGCTCGTCACAGAAGCCCACTCGACACCTAGTCACGTACCGTGGGCTCACTGTTGTCTTCCTGACAGGTATTCCCTGATGCATTGCAGTGCCCTTTCTGTTATCTTTGTCTGGTCCTCCAGCTTTTGCACCAATCTTTCGTGTGGAACTGTATCAAGCGCCTTCTTACAGTCCAAGAAAACGTAATGTACCCAACTCGCTCTCTCACTCTGGTCTTACTACTGTCACCTGTCTTAGAACTCCAGTACGTTTAGTGACAGGATTTCCGTCCCTGAAACCATGCTGGATGTCGTTAATAAGCTCATTCCTTTATAGGTGCTCCACCACTTCTCTTGCTAATCGTCTCCATGACTTTACATACTATACAGTCAATGACACTGGTCTGTAGTTTAATGCTTCGTGTCTGTCTCTTCGCTTAAAAATTGGGGACTACATTTGCTGTCTTCCATACCTAAGGCAGTATGGTATGGTATGTTGAAGATTGTTGTTAGTGGCACACATAAGCCTCTGCTCCCTCTCTCAGGACCTATGGAGAGATGTTACCCGGCCCATCACCTTTGAGGTATCTAGCTCGCTTAGCAGCCTCTTCACGTCTTCCTCGGTCGCGTGTATTGTGTCCAAAACTTGATTGTGTACCCATCTCTCCGTCTTTCTTGAGTCTCTTCTATCTGCTTTGTGGAACACTTCTTTGAATCTCATATTGAACTTTTCACATACTTCTCTGTCGTTTCTTGTGATCTCCCTTCCTTCCTTCCTTCCTTTCTCAGTCTGATTACCTGGTCTTTGACTGTTGTTTCCTCCTGATGTGGTTGTAAAACAGCTTCGGATCAAATTTGGCTTTCGCTGCTACGTCATTTTCGTATTGTGCATATGTGTGTGTGTGTGTTGTGTGGTCTTTTGTGTGTGTGTGTGTGCGTGCGTTGTGTGTGTGTGCGTGCTCCTGCCTAGAGTGTTGCGGGGATCAACGCCCTCGGGCCTGATCATCCAATCTGTTACAGCTGGTCGCATGCAATCCAGCGTACGAACCACTGCCCAGCTGGTCAGGTACTGTTTGTGTAGTCACGTTAATTTTGTTGCAAGGGTCGAGTCTTAGCTCCTGGCTCCTGATCGCTGATCGTTAGTAGGTTCACTCTCCTGGCTTCGAGAGCGTTATCGTACTTCTTAAAGCTATGTAAGGATCCTGCCTCTACCACTTCCTTCCCCAGGTTGTCACACTTGTGACTGTTCTTAAAGTGAAACAATACTTAATAATATATCTGTGACTCGTGTGTTTTCAACTCCCAGATGTGTCCTCGCATTCCTGTTTTCCGTCTCTCAAACATTCTGTTCTTCTCCACCCTATCAATTCCACTCAGTAATTTGTTCGTTATATCACTCTCTAGTTCACCTTTCCTCTAATTTCATTATGTCGTCAGACGTGTAGTGTGTGTGTGTGTGTGTGTGTGTGTGTGTGTATGTGTGTGTTGTGTTTACTCACTCATAAGTGGTTTCCAGGGTTGATTCACAGTTCCTGGCCCCGCCCAAAGGTCCCCAATGGAAATAAGTCACTCTGACTTGTTTGTGTTATCTTAGGTACTTTACACATATGCTGCTATGTATGATAATCTATGTAACTGTATTTGTGTATACCTGAATAAACTTACTTGCCTCTTCTTAGTCCACTCTTTCCCGGCAACAATAACCTTACATCACTCTCCAGGTTGTTCCACTTCTTGACGACTCAACGGCTGAAGAAATGCTTCCTAACATCCCTCTGACCCATCTAAGTTTTCAACTTCCAGTTATGTTTTTTTTAATCCTATTTCCCATCTCTGAAACATTCTGTCCCTGTTCACCTTGTCAGTTCCCCTCAGTATTTTACACTTGGTTATCATATACCTTATAGTCCCCCTGTCTTCCAGTGTTGTCACGTTGAGTGTCCTTATTCTCTTCCCATGGCACATACCCCTTAGCTCATGGACTAATCTTGTTACAAACCTCTGAGTGTAGGTGTGTGTGTGTGTGTGTGTGTGTGTGTGTGTGTTTGTGTGTGTTTGTGTGTGTGTGTGTGTGTGTGTGTGTGTGTGTGTGTGTGTGTGTGTGTGTGTGTGTGTGTGTGTTGTGTGCGCGCGTGCGTGTGTGCGTGCACTTGTGTGACTGACAGAATTCGAAACATAGCTTCACTATACCGCTGCCGCTACCGTCTTCTACGGTCGAATTCAGAAAAACAATAAAAACAGTAAAAGAAGGAGTTCTGACGTTATGAGTACGTCAGATATCGTAGGAGGTGATCAGTCCCTCCTTTCTAAAACATGTGTTAAGTTGATTGGTTAATTGGGCTCAAAATCTACCGACCAAAATACTTTAATTCCTAAAGTTTTGACTTCATCGCTCTCGGGCCGTGAGGTTGTGCTACGCCTTGATCCTGCATTCGTCACTCAACCTTGGTGGAGGACGGACATTGGCGGTTGAGCTAGCACCTCTTGGTAGCACTGAGTGATTTTCACAAGATGGCGCAGGCTATCAGGCGGAGAACCAACACTGTGTGTATTGAGATGTTGAAAGGAAACGGTTTATCATACCAATGCTTTCTGTTAATGCTGCCTGCCATACTACGAGATACCTACTGCATCAACAACGACGATCTGTATGGTATTGCCTTAATTAAACGGAGCTACAAGGATCTTTGTGAAATTCGTGACGGCTGCGACATATGACAAGATGGTGGAAAAATAACAAGACGTGTGCATGAAGGTTAATCCTGGTTTAGAAGTACGACTGAGGGACGTATCCAAGTATTATACTTGGGTAAAGTTACGGAATGTCCCATTTGAAGCGGATGAAGAAGATATAAAAGCAACATTCGAAGAGTATGGTGTTATACATCAGGCATCAGTTGGAAGGTGGTCTGAGGGTATGTATGCTGGACTGCGTGAGGGCTCCTTTACCCTCAAAATGTCTTTGCGCAAATCTATACCATCATATGTGACACTGAGTGACTTTAGAACTCAGGTATATGTAACATATGCGGGGCAGAGACGAACCTGTAGACTGTGTGGAGCTTTTGATCATATATATGGCTGTAATGTGTCCTCGTCGATCGGCACCTGAGAAACATGGAGAGGAGAAAGGAGTGGGGAAGGACAGAGTGGTGACGACCCAGTCTACAGGGGAGCATCTTCAAGATCATAGAACATGGAGTGAAATCGTGGACGACAATCCGGTAGAATGTGCAGGACAATCCGATAGAATGTGCAACATTACCGGAGGTCTCTCAGGTTATTGAGAATATGCGTATGGAGGATGAGGTGAGACGAGTGGAATTGGGTAGTCAAGTTACGGCTGCAATAAGTAGTATATATTGGTCGATCTAGGAACACTGCGGATAATGACCATGGAAAATGCGATAATGATGGGGTCTGCATGACAGGGTAATTGTTTAATATGATTAATCATGGCCCAAGGGGATAGAGAGACTTATTCCTATGCATTAATAAGTAGGTACATAAAGTAGAACAAAGGATTCGGTGTGCAGGTGGCAGATTCCGGGATAATGAGTGTGGAAAAGAATGTGATAATGGTGGTCTGCATAAGCACAGGTGCTGTCAGGGGTACAAGTTTAATATGTTTAGTCCATCCCCCCAAGGGATAGAGAGATTTATTTCTGTGTAATTACTAAGTATAGGAAGGTAGGTAATGATCACTTCTGACACCCCAAACTCAATCACTCTGATAGATGGGAGAGGCAGTACAAAAAAGGATTCAGGTGTGCAGGTGGGCAGATTCCCAGGATAATGAGTGTGGAAAAAGAATGTGATAATGGGTTGGTCTTCATAAGCACAGGTGCTGTCAGGGGTACAAGATTTAATATGTTTAAACATCCCCCAAGGGGATAGAGAGAGAGAGAGGCTTATTTCTGTGTAATTACTAATTATAAGAAGGTAGGGTAATGATCACTTTTGACTCCCCAAACTCAATCACTCTGATAGATGGGAGAGGCAGTACAAAGGATTCAGGTGACTGGGTACAAGCTTACCATCTCCGAGGGAGTCCCCCCCCCCCCTTCCCGGGGCTGCGACTCACTGACGCGACTGTTGCTACTTCACAACAACACTGCTGGGTTTAAAGAACGCGGTAATGGATGGGTAGCTGGTCGCCCGAGGGAGTGTTGCTCGCCCGTCCGTACCTCAGCAAAAAAAAAGGTTCTTCCGGGTGCTACGGTAGTGTTTATTCTTGCCAGCTGCTAGATCTTTCCAGGTGGGGGAGGCTTAAAGCAGTGAGAAAAGGTCATCTAGGGAAGACCTTTGTGCTGATAGAGGTCTTATAGGAACTTTGTCATATACATTTTCCTCTCAGATGGGGAGAGGCTTAAGTGGTGCGATATTGTTTATATATATATGTTTAGACTAGAGAAGATAGTAATATATAGTTATATGTAAATAAAAATCAGAGTTTGTCAATATTTTTATTAATTCACATACAAAAGGGCAAAAAAGCTGTGCAAAGTTTTTTAGCGCGAGCAAAGGGGGCGAAACTGTGCGAGTTTTACTGGTTAGACTGAATGACTGCGCTCCTCCTGTTCACTTTCTGTAAGATTGATAACCTCCCGCTCGAAAATGATTTCCTTTTCAGGTACATCAACATCTGCCTTTACTCCACCTGCCGTCTTTACTCCAGCTGTCGGCTTTACTGCGTCTCCAGCATTTACTCTCACGTCGGAGGTTTTCCCTTCCTTCTCCGACTGACCGTCAGGGTGCGCTTCAAGGTCGCCAGTTTGTTCAGCACCTGCCGCGGCAGTGACCTCAACAGAGTCATCAGATTGAGCAGTATCGAGCGTAGAGAGGTCCACAACGAGGTCATCAGACTGACATGAGGGAAGGCTCTGCGTTTCATCGTTGTCGAGATCTGGTTCTTTCTTCATAGGCTCCTCTATATCAGATGAACTGATCCCATCTTCCACAGGCTGTAAGTCATAAAGAGAACATATTTATCACTTTCAAATAAAGGAGTGGGACTCGTCTCTAATCTACCAAAGGAGGGAACATAGAAAGACATACCCTTTCCTGAGGAAGTCTTTGTTTGCGTTTCCTGCTATCATCACAATGACACCGCTTTAGGAGTTTGAAGCCGGTGTGTTCCTTCCCTTCCAATCTACCAGCCGATAAAATCAAAACTTTACAAATTCTGACTGGCCCAGTGAAAACTGTGAAGAAAAAAAAGGAGACTCAACTTTAAAATTATTATAAGTCTCTTGCGCTCGTTTTGTTTCGTTAATATTCAAAGAGAAGTATCCAATCTACCAGCCGATAAAATCAAAAACTTTACAAATTCTGACTGGTCCAGTGAAAACTGTTGAAAAAAGAGACTCAACTTTAAAAATTATTATAAGTCTCTTGCAGTCGTTTGTTTCGTTAATATTCAAAGAGAAGTTTTTAGCAAAATAAAATGTCTCGCTTACCAGAATCGAGAATGTCTGCTTCCTTCACCATGATGAGAGTAAAAAGGCTATGGAGAGGTCAGCCTCTATCTTTTTGCGGGGAAGACAGCTTCAGCGGGCTCTTATATACAGCTCAGAGAGGGCCTTACCAGCCAGGAGGGGTATTTGGGGGATACTCTCGTCAGAGGTGACCTTCCCCACAGAGGGAAGCACAAAGATAACCTTGACTTAGGCAAAATGTTTTTTCACAAGGAGGTAACATTTTAAAATTCTCTCTAGCATATGCTATCACTAATCTGTCATTGATAAAAAGCGATTTTTCCGAGAAATTTTTTTTAAAAAAATATAAAGCTCTTTCTAATCCCACAAGGCTTGCTTTATGAATAAACATCATAACATATAGACCGCAAGTGAGTGAAAAATCACTTTGTGTTCTGCCAGATAAACGATATAAATATTTAATTTTATTTAGTTTTAAAAAATTTTTTAAATTTATGCCATAATTCTCTGGTTTTTTCCCGTAACTGTCAAAGAAGAAGGATAGACTATTTTTCTTGTCCAAGAGAAGAGAAAAAAAATGACCCATTACTTTTGAACTGTACGAAGGAAGAATATTACTTACAAGCACTATGGGCCTGTCTGAGGGATAGTCATCTAATCTTATTTGCTGTAGAGCGTCTATAGTGAAACAGCCAATATATGTGACTTTATTTCCTAGGGCGGGAATTAAACTATTATTTATTTCTGCGCAATTCATTTTTTATTTATGCTCGCACATCACAATGAACAGATCTATTCTGGTCGATGGATAAAACACCAGTGGTCTGAGCAAATAATAAAACTACCTTATTATGAGGGGCGGGCTTAGAGAACTGTAATTCAATTCTCAAGTTACCAGATTTTTCAATCGGGAGAGCGTCTTCCACTTGGCTGTCTGTTAAATTGAAAATATTGATGGTTCGCCCGGAGGCGAATGATTCATAGAGAATTAAATTTTCTTCCTCAATGCCCAGAGAGTTAATTGCCTCATAATATAATTTACTATAATGATGGGGGAAATCACTGCTTATGCGATAAACTGTAATATATTATACATACAGATAAACTGGCTAGATCCCCATGCTCAAAATATAGTCCATTCTCCTTATGTTTTCCTGCATAGGCTGTCATGGGCAAAATTACCATGAAAATTTTGGCGGGAATTACATGACCCCATGGCTGATCTATTAGGAGGCTCGTTTGATTGTGACCTAGCACATAATTTTTACTTAGAGTGCGATTAAAAGTATATATTATCGGCTTTGCGTCTAAGGCTAGAGACTTGTTCAAGGCCATATAAGCTGATGTATATGGGTATACTCTATTAAGCCATAATTTAGCGTAATTAATATGGAGCTGGTATGTGCTGGCTTCATCGTCTGTTTTCAGAGTCCACGCTTGAGGGGATAATTCCAGCCTAATTTTTAAATCGATATTGTCAAGCAGATATTGGTCCAGAGTGGATATGTCCAGAGCCAAGGGAAAAACACAGAGTTTGCCTGTTCTTTATACATTCTTTGTCAGTATCGTGGTTCTTTGCCGATGTGCGGGCGAAATAGGCTGTATCGAACAATTAGTTTATACCTTCTCCTCCTTTAAAGTCGGGCAAGAGATACCCCAGTCGGGCGATACTCGGCAACTGGCTTCGTTTTACTGAGCTGCAGAGTTTAATGAATGACCAGTAATTAAAACTAGAATTTGATTCCGTTATTTGCTCGCCCAGGAAACACTGGACACTTTTAAATAACGTGTTGGAAAATCCATTGATGAGTGCAATGTGCTTGTTTCCCTAGTGGACTTTGCCCATCGGCCTCTGTTAGAGTCACTCTAAATTCTATAACTATTTTGCCTAAATCTAGAAATGCTCCGGGAACTCCAGGAATTCTAAATTCTAGAAAATTATCTTTTAGTTTTTGAGAGAGAGGAAGGTTTACTGGTAGAGTATCAAAACTCTGTGTGCGAGCTATGGAACTCTCAACTTGTCTCAGTCTATGCGTGTGCGGGAATTGATTAATGACGCTGGAAGAATAATCATTTAACGGGACTTTGAGTCCACTGTTTTCAGCCCCGACACCCGCCATGGCTAATAAGCGACTGTTTATACGAGAGAGAATACATCCGTTTTATAAGCAACTCGGCTTCGTCGGCGTTTATTTATCTTGCATTTATTATTTACCCGTCGCTTAGTCACCCTGCTCACTCTGCCGCCCGTAATAACCTTCTTTGCAACACCTTTTAAAGCATCTATCCCGTGAGATTTAAGAGCAGCTTTCATGTCTGTTTTTCCAGACTGATAATCATCGAGCATTTTAGTTCCAAATTCTACTGCACTTGGCGCAGCCACTCTGAAAAGAAAAGGTAAAGCTCTTTTAGCTAGGCCCGCTAAAGCCGAAAAAAATCCCCCACCTCGGACTCTGTATGGCGCGTGAAAAGTTTGTATATCTCCCAGGCCACCCCCCACCTGGGAGGGTTTTAGGGAGAATAAACTCCGAAATTCCTGCTCAGAGGGCACTTGAAAGGGTACACGCATGTTTGGCGGTTAGAGAAACAATAACCATTTTTACGCTGAGTTGGTTCTATTTATTTATCGGTCTTACATGTAACACTACGGTAGTGGAATGACCGCTTTCAAAAGACAGATTACGACCAAACTGATCTGTCATTTTGATAGCTATTTTATCTAATTTAGTTACGCATAGAGGTTTGTACATCATAGGATGAGCACCTTTTGAATAACTCTCCTGAAAGGCGAAAGCATCCAGAATATTGACTAACTGACTACCGTATATTTGCGGTTCCACAATATCACTATATATTAAAACATAATCAACTCCGCAGTGGGATCAGGCTTGAATGGGCAATCTGCTTGGGGAAGGAGATCCCCTCGGGCGCGTCACTACGAAAATAAATAATATTTTTCAGCGCTGCTAAGCCCAAGCACCCGAGCTATTCTCGGTTTAAATTGAGCTTTAAATGAAGTGGCAGCATTGTTTTTTTCCCGTAAAGGTTCGCGATCTCGTCGAAACTAAAACCCTCCCAATTCCGACATCATAATTGAGTATTTTCCCTTTCGGGAAATGTGCCGAATAATTATCTCTAAAGGCTTTTTTTAATCTGCTGTTAGCTGTCTGATTAATTTCTTCAATAATATGGCTGGCATCTGTCTATAACACATCATTTTTGGTAGAAAGTGATTGGACTATTTCTTCTGTACTTTTTCCCTTTGTTTCAGTAATGTGATTTTGTATAATGTCAATACCGCATTCGGCATCGTCTCTTGTTAGAACATTGAATTTTTTGGGATACAAAACATTAAGCAATGCTATTTCGTAGTTCAAGGATGGATTTAAAGGCGTTGCAGTAATTATATTTTGAAAGGCCGAAGCTGTATTGTCGAAAATGTCAATATTTTCTAAACTGCTCAAATAGATATATTTCCCCGGACCCCCTCTGTCCATGTTGAGGGACAGAGACAGTATGAGGCAAATACAAAATATAGACCATTATATATATTTTTTAAAGGCTTAAAAAAACTTTAGTTTGAAGAGTTTACATTTTTATTTTTTTATTAGTTACAGCATTTAGGAATAAAATATCCACATCATCGTGCTGTCGTTTGCGTTTTCCGCGTGAAGTGACCTCGACTCCATCAGGCATGTCCATTTCACGCATGCCACTGTCTCGTTTAGTTCCAATCCCACCGGCTGGTCCGACGTCTGCACCGCCGCCGCCGCTGCTGCAGCTGCTGCTGTTGCCGCTGCCGCCACCGGCACTGCTGCCACCGCTGATGCTGCCAGTGCCTTGCTTCTCCACAGACAGCTGTAGTATTTCCCGTTCTAGAGCTTCGGGGGAGGCGCCGCGTTCAATTTCCACCTCATCTAGGATGATTTTAGGTACTGCCAAGTATGGGCTCACTGACGGTACGAGCAAGCATGTCTGAATTTCCCGTTTCAGTAATATGTCTTGAAATATGTTAATGAGAGGGAGATATTCAGTGTGCCATTCATCGGCCTGTTTTCTGCTCATGCAATGTACTGGGGTTAAAATTACCCGTTTGATGTTGCCATTGGCTATCACTGCCCGACCCAGGGACACCAACATAATTTAAACCAAATTCGTCGATTCTGTTGCGTGTCCTTGCTCAAACCGCGTACATAATGCGTGTCGAGACTACGCTCTAATTGCTGTTGCGCAATTTCATTCTTTTCAAGACAAGGACCCGCTGAGAACTGACATATTAGTGCTGCAAGGTGGGGTCTTAAAAATCCTCTGGCCTGTCGTCAAGGGTGTTGGTGCATGTGGGGGTGATTTTAGGACAATTTCCCCGGGTGGTGCCCCGATCTGCAGCTATGGCGCGGTTCACAGGATTAGCGATTTTTCGCTCAATTTTGGAAAAAGGATATTTTTCCCAGAGTGAAAGAGCCGGCTCGTAGGGGCGAGCAGAAGTAGCGTTGTGGGGATACACGATACAATCCCCATATTCCAGGAATTCTTCACCCGTTATTCCCCGACAATTACTGGAAATTTATATTCCATTCTCATCAACAGTTGGGTTCCTTAGAGTCCTCGCTGAGGGAGTGAGACGGATAATGTTTATCGGCACGTCGGCGGCAGGGTTTAAATACCGCGCTGCTGTAGCCTCCCACTCCTGCGGGTGGGTTTGGTAGGGGTTTGGGGGACCTCTCTAGGTCGACATTCGCCTAAGGTGCTTATACAAGCTTTGGGCCCTTCAAAAGCTTCTATCATATCCCGGAAATCATGCGTAGCATATTCTAAGCGTCTGATTTCAGCCGTCAGTTCTCTTTCTGATTAAAATTGTCATATAATTTTTCAATTTCATCAAAGTCTTAGTAAATCTGGTCATGGGGCAATTGACTTTGAAGATTCGTAGGTTTGCCATAAACTTTGTATCACACGAGCTTTGTAACACACTTGCTGATAAATCTTTCGTCTTGACGTTAATTGATGTAATAATATCGACAAACTGGGGTCCTTTTCTCCTTCTTCATTCACGGGAGATTAATTCTCTCGGGATAATCAACTGATGGCTGGTCCATTTTTTTTTTTTTTTATGAATAGCACTTCGAGAAGGAACTTCTTGTCTCTATCCTGACCCGGTATTTACTAAAGCAGGCAAAGCTCTTCTCTCGACTTTATGAAAGCTTAAATTTCAATAGGCTAGCCAGAGCGGCTTTTTTTCCGCGGTCTTTTTAACATAAAAACCGCCTAATAATTGTTTTCTCGCCTTGTGATTTTTTATAAATCTTGGCTCTAATCTAATAAGGCTCACTAATTCCCCTACAACGGGCAAAAGTTTTTTATCGATGTACGCTCGACTGCTTGTCAAAGATTTAATGATTTGTAAGATGTTTAAATTATGGTATGGAGGGAATAAAATACCTCTCTTATCCCACCGAATGAAAGAATTATTATTCTTGAATAGATTTAGCATAGATTTCGCGTATGGCAATTCTTCTCTCGTGAAATACAGATCAATTATTTCATTTAAATTTGGGGAAGAGTCCTCAGGCGGGAGAGAAAGACTGTTGTTTTTTCTTGATATTAAAGATAAAAGTATTTCCGGCGGGAGTTTATTATTATTGGCTATTATTTTCTGTTTCGGATTTTTTTTTTTTACTCTTAGACTCCTCGCGGCAACTACCGCGGGCGCGCCCGCCACCGCAGCCGCCGCAGCCGCCGCCACTGCCGCCACCGCCGCGGGCGGCATTACAGCGAGCGAGCTTATTTTTTTTTTTTTTTTTATGGGGGACTCGCCAGTCTCAACAAAGAGCTCGGGTGGGTGCCCGCTCGTGGGAGGTGGTAGCTCGAAGCGGTAATTAACCCTTATGAGGGCGAGTTGTTACGCTGGGCAGGAGCTGACCTTCTCATCCTTGCTTTGGGCTGGTTTCACTTTCACTCTCGAGAGGCTGGAAGATTCCTTCCTACGCGCCATAGTGGTGGTTGCAGTGCTTCTGCGAAGGCGGGGAAAAGGAGATTCGCGCTTAGGAGTGGGTAAGATATTTGTTCC